ACAGCACATAACAACAATAACATACCATCTGTTATGATGAACTGAGTACACAACACTACTTTTGTGATATTCTTGCCAAAAATTCAGAATGCCAACCGGATAGTGAGAAAACTTCAAACAATCCCAAATTAACAGAAGTTCCACAGAACAATTGACTGGTCCTCTACCCAAAGATCAATGTCAGGAAAGACAAGAAAAGATAGAACTGTGGTGCATCAGAAGAGATTAACAGATACAACTACCAAATGCAATTTGGAATCTTAGTTTGAATCCTGGAAGAGAAAAACGACGGTAGTGGAATACCTAGTACGTTTGAATCATGGAAGAGAAAAAAGACAGCAGCGGAAAAACTAGTAAAATTCTAACTAAATATGTGGTTTATTTAATAATATTATACCCATGTTAAGTTAATGGTTTGAAAAATGCCTACCATGAATACATAAAATATTAACAATAGGGAAGATGATGAGAGTTCTGTGGAAACTCTCCTACTATTTTTGTGACTTTTCTGTATATCTGAAATAATTTCTAAACAAAAAGTTTAAAACAGTATAGAAACAATAGAGTCTTGTTTAAATAATTACTAGGCACGACTAGTGCCTGAAAAGATGCACAAGGAAGACTTCTATTGTGCTACATGTTCCATATGTTGATGGAGGTGTTGGGAACAAGAATCTTTTAATTTTTAAATTATGGAAAACTCGGCCAATATTTCTCAATGTAAAGTATTGCAAAACTGTTAAGTATGCTGTTAGATAAAATTTTATACTCAATACAAAAAAATTTGTAAATTTTATTAAATTATAATATCAAAAATGAATGCTTTATGAATGACAAAGACAATTTTTAAAAATTATTTGTATAGCAATTTGTTTCCTTTTGTCAAATTTAAATATTCAGATTTAATGATGAGGTTTAAACTTGTGTTTGCATATTCAAGTCAAATTCCAGGTATAAATCTAATGGGTGGATCAAAAGGGATCCAGAGCTACTCTAGTCTGATGAGGGATGCGGTTAAAAGGGAAACATTCAGCCTCATGGCACGTTTCTCTTGGGGGCTTCTTCTGTGGTTGGGAAAGGTGAGAAAAATCCTTGGGTATACTTAGTCCCAGAGGCCTTCTCTGACTGAACAAGAGTCAGTAATACCCCCAAATAAGAAAACACTATTAGATCTTTTCACATTTTCCAGTGAGCCTTCACACTTTCATGTGAACTGTGGACAGAACACTCCTTGTCAAACTACTACTGAATGTGAAATCTGGAAAACAATAGGAAATATTCTTAGGTAAACAGAAATTTCTG